AAAAAGGTTAGAATTAAATTATTGCTGAATTATTAAAAATTACCTTTATTAACTAAATGATTTATTTAGAAAATGAATAATTACACACGTGAGTTGAAACACTAGAAAGAGAAAATGCTAAATTTGTAAAATAATTAGATCTAATGGAATATATTAACAACGAGTTTTCTGAAGAATCAGAACAGCAAAAAAATGAAATAGAAAATTTAAAAAAGGAAATTGATTGACTCAAATCTGTGGAACCTAAACTTGATTCTATAGTTGTTGTAAAATCTAGAGCAACCGATATATCAGAATCTGAAAGTTTGCCGAGTTTAGAAAAGCATTGAAGAATTCAACCTAGGAGAAGTAGTAAAGAGGCAAAACTGGTAAAACCGGTTACTGAAGATGAGTTGAAACCAGAAGAAGCAAGAGCAGAAATGAAGGCCTTAATGAAAACCATTCCTGATGAATATAAACTAAGAGTAGACAAAGTTTTTTCAAGTAATGTGAATAAAAAAATATTTCAAAAGTTGATACTCGAATTAATAAAATCCATGGCCCCATGTTTTAATCCCTCATGAAAACAAATAAATAAATAGTTGGATGCTTTACATCGTTATCAGAGAGGAAGATATCAGAAAGCAGAAACTGGAAAACTGGAAGCGAACAATCATCGCTTACATGTAAATAACCAATTAAATAAAGTAAGATTAATAATATTCGGCATTTATACTACCTTCAAGTATTAATTTTCAACAAATAATTAAGAAAAGGGCATGAAGAATTAAAAGGCATAGTCACTTATTGAACAAAGGTCAAAGAAAGTTGCCAAATATCGAAATGTATTAATTGATATAGTTAAAGAAACAAAGGTACATTCACCTGAAGAAAGTGACACTGATCTGAAAAACCCTACTAAAAAAAGAATAAATGTATATAATTACAGTTGGTGTTCTGAAGAGATATTTTTTGACAAAATATTATATGCCGAATAATTACAATATTAATCATAATTATTTATAGTTAAAGAATTTGTTGATATATTTGAATGAACATTTGAAATCAATTCAAGCGTTCCAGCTGACTTGTAAATGATATTGTGACTATTCATATTTTTATGACATGACGTCACCAGAAGGTTTGTTGAATTGAACATATACAGTTTGAAAAAAACTTTGAAATGTAAACAAGAAAAAGAGGAAATAAATCAGCAGATAAATCCAAAAGACGAAAAATTATCAAATATGAGGAATTATTAATGTATTCAGAGGGTGAGGAATAAACTGAGAAAAGTACAAGAATGGATGAAATTTGGAGGGTAGTTAGATTAGAAGAAAAAAGTAAAAAATCTCAGAAAATATTTGACAAGGTAAAACCAATTAGGGCTAGTTTTAAAAGTGTCAAGTCGAGATCTTTAAAGGAAAAAGAAAAACAAGTAGAAAAGGAGAAAGAGGAGGAAGAGAAAGAGGAAAATGATGAATAATTTAGTTAATTGAATTTGTAATTTTTTAATAAATTTTGTGAAATTTGAATTTTTTGCTGCAGTAATTTTTTTGCCAAATTTTTTTTCTACAATAATTTTTTTGCCAAATTTTTTGTCACAGTAATTTTTTTGTCAAATTTTTTGTCACAGTATCAATTTTTTTGCTAAATTTTTTGCCACAGTATCAATTTTTTTATTGAATTTTTTGCTGCAGCATCAATTTTTTTTGACGAATTTTTTGCTGCAGTATCAATTTTTTTGCCGAATTTTTTACCGCAAAATTTTTTTTTTTGCTGCAATATTGCCGGATTTTATGTCAAATTTTTTTTTCGTAGAATGCCAATATTTTTTTGCCAATTTTTTACTGATATTTTTAATGCCGAGTGGCAGCAATCGTAAATATTTTGTCAATATTTTTATTATTAAATTTTGCCAAATTCAGTAATAATTCAGCAGCCGAATGACATAATTTCGACTAGTGCCAGCGTTTAAAAAAAAAAAAAATAATAAAAAATAAAAAGAATAAGATTAAAATTATTTCAGTTAAAAATTTTTATCAAAATTGATTCAATATAAAAAAGGAAAAAAATTAGAGATAAAAATTTTTTAAGAATTTTAATGAATGAAATTGAAATCAAAATAAAATAATTGGGTTTTGAACTTTAAACATATTCTGTAATAATAATTTACAAGCGATTATATTAGTAATTGGAATAGATCTTTATATGAATTGTTAGTAGAGTAATAAATCATTCTCAAAGTTGTCCTTAAAAGTCATTCAGACTAAAATTAGCAAGTTTGCTAAAGAATTATATCGAAAATATGTATTCAGTTTTAAAATATTGAATAAAGTACATATAATTAACTTGATAGAAGATTAAAAAATATACTGCATTTATTTATTTATTCAATTTTTTTTTAAAAAAAACAAACATATTATAAATAGTATAATTTTTAAAAAAATTTTCAACATTACATCATATGGCACTTGATATAAAAATTAATTTAAAGAATACCGCTCAAATTAAATATTTTTGTGTACAATATATCAGAGTATTTTTTATTAAAAATTAAAAGCAAAACAACTGAGATATAATATGTAAATTTGAAATGTTTTATTTTTAATTTTTTAAGAAAATCAATCGATCCCTAATCAATGATTAGAAATATTGTGTATAAGTTAAAAATAATAAATGTATCCATTGTTTAAGAAAAAATTTTGTAATTCTACAATAAACTTCTCAGTGTACTCCCCTTGGAACCATATGAAATTTTTTTTTAAAAAATGCGCATTTGGGAAGGTAATTTTATTAAATGTTCCATGTACTTGAGATCAAACGTACTTTGAAGAATACAGTATCTGGAAAAAAATTTGTGTATTTATAGGGAGGTTTATCTGAATATAATTTTTTTAATGATAAATATATTGTGCATTCGAATTGCTCTTTAGAAAACATCATGAAATAATATTTGAAAATAACCAATCGGCTTTGTAGGACGAAGCAAATCTAGTTAAGAATTTGTACAAGAAAGCAAAAATAGGTTACTCATCTCCATATAGAGAAAATATTCGGACAAGTATTTCTCATGTTAGGGAGTTTATTTGTTCAGGAACATTAATTCCGATTTTCTCAATGTCGAATTCTATTGTAAGAAGCTGTTTAAGAAATACAGTATACTGTAGAATCATCTGTGTTACAATTCCAAACATATGCACATAAACAAAAACACTACTGCGTACTACGTACGCTTAAAAAAGCATATATAAAATTGAGAAATGAGAAACTTGAATAATAGAAAACTCGTTCTTAATATTTTCAGATAAACAATATGACGTCCGAGGATGATATTCGTGTGGTAGTTTGCATTGGTAAAGATGTTTTTCAATTACGAATCTGACTTTATTGCATTTTAAGACACTAATAATTTTCTTTAACAGATTTCGGGACTACGTACTCGGTGCGTCAAAACTAACTAGGATCGGAATTTTGGTTGATCTCCTACCACGTAGTTCAAAACATGCGTGTTGACATTACTTTTTACCTTTTATTCATGACAGGGATTCGCCTATGCTAATGTATCTAATCCTGAAATTTGCACCAATGATTGTTGGCCCGGAAAGTATGGCGAATACAAAACTAGTACCGCGCTTCAATACGATACGTTCTATCGTAAGGTCGAAGCATGGGGGTATCCTGCGTTGGCAAAGCGACCTAATCGTTCAAATGAAATTGTTGCCGCATCCAGGAGTTCGGATGTGTCTTTTAATAATAGCGGTCCAATGACTGTTCCCAAACCCGTGGAATTATTTAAATTACATTTGGGAGATTTGGGAAAAGGCGAAAAGCCGATATTGCCGAAAGAAATAAGTTATAAAAGAGCCATCACAGATTATTTAAAGGAGATGGGTACGAATGATACTTTTTTTTTTTTTTTTGAGAAACATGATGTTTTAAGCTTAACAACCCATCCTCCCTCTAATAAAGGCGAAGTACGTATAATCTATTCCTCGAACAAAAAAAATCTTCTTGCGCCCTAAACAAAGAAATTTCCTTTTATTTTTAGCTTGTTAAGGAAACGATCCTTTCAAGGTGGCCGGGTATTGAATTTTCGAAAAATGTTCTACTAGTACTCACGGTACCTGCAGAATTTAATAATCAAGCAAAGGCAATTATGAGGCAATGCGTAACCGACGCTGGATTAATTACCAAGAAACTGGAGTTTACGACAGAACGTAAGCCGACCGATTGTAGTGCAGATGTCATAAAATCTTTATTTACAGTATACGTATTTGCCTTTAATTTATTTAGCGGAGGCTGCTGCTATCTATTGTATGAAATTCTTTAAAGAGCAGTTTACCAACTCCGTTGGATGTACGTATTGAGAGTTTATTCTTATCGATTTCTTTCTTTAACACATTGCTCACCGTACATTACTCGAACACGTGCGTACAATTAACAGCTTTATTCCTAACTGTTGATATTGGCGGTGGAACTGTTGATTTGACTAAGCGCAAAATGCGTGATAAGCATACACTTGACGAAATTACCGAAAGTACCGGTGGCTTCTGCGGTGGCTCTTACGTGGATAAAGAATTTATAAAATTTATTGAAGGAAAAATTGGAGAAAACGCAATGAAGCAACTTAAACAAAATAACTATGGTCAACTTCAATATCTTGTTCAAGAATTCTGTAAACGTATTAAGCTTCCATTCACCGGTAATCCCGATGACTTTAAAGAATATGAACTAGATATTGAAGAAGTTTGTCCCGTTCTGAAACAATATGTTCACGGAGTGGAAAGAACCATATTGGAGTATGATGAATGGATCATCGCCATAAGTTTTGACAGCGTGAAAGCAATGTTTGACCCAGTGATCGAAAAGATTGTAAAATTAATCGATGATCAGATAAGCAAGGATGGCGAACTTATTTCTTCAATTTTCTTGGTGGGTGGATTCAGTGAATCAGCGTATTTACAGACAATAATTAAAGAGGAATTTTCTTCGCGAGTGCTAAATATTTCGGTGCCTGTACAACCGATAGCCGCGGTGGTTAGAGGTGGAGTGGACTATGGCTTGAACTTTAGTGTAATTCGAAGTAGAGTATTGAAATACACTTATGGTGTGCTGGTCAACCAAGTATTTAGTTATCTCACAGATCCTATAGATAGAAAAAAAGCGGATGGGAGAATTTACAAGTTTTTCAGAATGGCTACGAAAGGAAGTCAAGTTAATGTCAACGAAGAATTCTCTAACTTCTTTAAACCCTCTGTAGAGAGGGACACTAGCTTAAAATTCTCAGTTTATATTACCACAGCTCAAAATGCCACTTATGTCGACGAACCAGGGATGCAATTACTAGGTGCTTTGACAATTGATTTGCCTGACCCAGAGTTGGGTTTCGATAGATTGGTTAGATTTTCTTTAACCTTCGGGCAGATGGAAATTAGAGCAGATGCAAAAAACGTTAAAACGGGTAGGAGCTATGCAACTACTTTTGAACTGAACTTTTCGGACGATTGATTCTTAGTCGTAAGAAAGGTAATCAGGTATACTGTAGATAAAATGATAGATGAGCAGTGATTCGTTGGATATCAAATATACTGTACTATTGTAAATAGCTTGAAATTGTTTCTTCTTTCCTTTCCTTTCCTTTTCCTTTTCCTTTTCTTTTTTGTCTATTTCCTACGATTAAGTGATTATATTTATTTAGAAATTATCTCGTTCAAATTGTAGCAAGCGCATGTTATAGGTTTCTGTCAGTTAAATTTGAACCAATATTTTTGCATCTCTTCAAACTGTCAAATTTTATTTGTTTGCGCTCTAAGTCGGGGAACGGTTTATTACAGAAAGGATAAAGGTAACCTCGTTTTCAGTTTGCGTGCTTCAAATTAGTGCCATTACAAATATAGAATTGCAATGTTTAAATCCTCGAAAACACAGAACTTTATACCAAATAACAAAAATAATTAACGCAGAAGTGGTGAAGAAATTATAGCAAATATTGGTCTTTCTATTTATCTAGCAAAAATATTTTGATCTTATTTATTAAAAAATTATAAATTACATATTCCCGCATGCGCATACATTCGATTACAAGTTAAACAATAGATTATCAAATCAGAGTTATTGGATATAAAAACAACTAGATTAAGATTTGTTGAAGTTGTTATTGAAAATTAATTGGCATTCTAAATGATAGTTCTTATTGATCAACTCATATTTTGAAGGAGCCTTTAAATTTCAAAAATAAAGAAATAAAACCAACAAATCACTATTTCTAAGTAAACTTCCAATTATCAGGCTTTGCATTATTGATTTTTTTTAAATCAATACCTCATTAATTTATTGAAATCGATTTCAAATCTTATCCCATCAAACAAGAATCAAATATTTACAGTGTACTGTATATAACAATGGGAACTTTTTTTTCTTTAAAGCAAAACAAAGTATTGATACGGAGGTAAGTTGAAGCACAGTAGTAATTTTTGATCACGCGTGAGAATATATTTATTGCATTAATTAATACTTTAACAACTTAACCATTATTCACAAGTCAGTAAATGTAAGCGAAAAAGAAAAAGAAAAAGAAAAAAAATATAGAAAATATTACAAAAGGTGTTGATGCCACGTGTACGTGATTTATGCTACGTGAGTACCGTATAACTTTGGAATAAAGTACACATGTGACATCGTTTTTACATATACAAATTAAGCCTCTCGATTGCTAGCATACAAGTAATCGATCTTTTCTTTATACTTTTTCTGCAACTCTATTCGTTTGAGTTTATTTGCAGCAGTTAAAAGTCCCTGTAATCAATATGCCAACAAATATTAGTTGAAGTCAAATAATTCTTGCCGAAAACAAAGAGTCCACTTACGTTCTGTGGGGTCCATTCGTCGCTCACCAAGACAATAGAGCTCAAAAACTCGGCCGGTTTAAGTCCAGCTCGTTTTGCTTGCTCTTGACAAGCATTAAAAACTTCAGAAATGATCACCTTATTGTCACACAATTCTTCAAAAGATTGTTCCTTCAACCCTTTTTCCTCTGCTAATTCCATAATTCTAGCTTCTGTTGGTAAAATTACTGCCACCGGTTTCCTTTGAAGGGAGTCGGCAAAAACGCAAATATTTCCCACATGCAATACGGACCTATATACCGACTCCAATTTTTCCAATGCAATATATTCTCCATGCGCAAGTTTTACTAAATTCTTCTTACGATCAATAATTTTTATTGAGCCAGATGCGGTAAATTCGCCAATGTCTCCAGTGCGTAGCCATCCATCTTCGGTAAATGTTTCTTCAGTTACCTGTGGGTTTTTGTAGTAACCCTTGGATATCATTGGACCTCTTAACCACACTTCACCTTGAGGACATGGCTTGTTCGTTGAAAAGTAGCCGGCGTCGGGAACATCGACGAGTTTCACTTCAATCGACGGGAATAGTGAACCGGCGATCCCCCAGTTTTCGCTCGTGGTCTCCTCGGCGGTCATTAGTGTCGCACCACTAAAATTATGAAAGTTAGAATATTTGACTAAAGCAATAGTCGCAAATTTTCGTATTATACAAATATTTGCTTTTTTACCCGCAATTTTCGGTCATCCCATAACCAAGCAACAGCGGAGCCAGCACTATTGTAATAAATTCGTGTGTCTCTTTAAAAATAGGTGCACCACCTGAGAACAATCTTCGCAAGCGGCCGCCGAATCGTTCTTGGACCTTGCTAAACACTACCGTGTCTATTGGCCCTGAGGGTAAACCTTTATCTCGGAGGAATCGTTTGGACCTAAATGCACCATTAAACATTTTTTGTTTTATCAAACCACTGGCGTTCACCTTCGCTAGAACATCTGGTAAATAGTGAACGGGCAAGGATGGTAGTGCTATTAGATTCATGCCTTTTTACGAAATAAAGATCCTCGCTCTCAAAATACAGTATTATAATAAACCTTTTTTAATCATTTCGAATACGGCAGGTACTCCGCCAAAGATGGACGGCTTAAATTCCCGAATGTCGCCCGAGCAATTACGCACAGACGCGTCAGTTAGTGTCTTCACCGTTCCATATCCCATAGTTACACCGTGGAACAACATACTTTGCTCTGTAGTAAATTCAAGAATGTGGGCAAATGGTAGGTAGGCAAGGTATGAATCGTCCGGTAAAAGGTCGCACGCAAATTTTTTATTGATGCCTGCAACTAAAAAAAAATTATTTTTATTTATTCTTAGTTAAGGAAATTATAAAGGTGAAATGAGATAACACGCAAAAATAAAATATAAATGTTACTTGTGGCAACTATATTGGCATGAGTCAATAAAACACCCTTGGGATTTCCTGTGCTTCCAGAAGTATACATAATACAACATAAATCTTGAGGTTCCGGAGGATTGGGTTCTACCGGATTGTCCTTGCCCAATTGTTTAACCTCATCCAGGGTTACTACGTTTATTTTTGAATGGGCCGACTTAAACTCTTCCAAGATATTTCCTTCCGGTTCACCATCGTATATTATGTGTTTTACTGTAAGAAGTCTATCGGCAATTTTCTTGATGGTGGGCAGTAAACTGGCGTTGGTAAAGATCGCGTGAACTTCAGCCTCGTTCATGGCAGAGAGAACGCTTTCTTCACCCAACGTGTCATAGGCAGTTGTCAATATGATGCTTTGAGAAAAACATCCTGTATCGTAAAAAGAAATTATTATAGTGGTTTCAACGAAAATTCAAATTCGAAAAAATGACATTCAAGATACCATGCGCTACGAGAATCCAATTAACACTAGTACATATATACATATATATTTGTATACGTAATTATTAATAAATAAGGATTTTTCGCGAAGAGAAAAAAAAAAATGCAATCAATCATTCATACCATGTAAAGGTGTATAGTGCGATTTTCTCTTTGTTCAATCCTAACTTAACTAATCCCGCACCAATATTTTTTGCCTGTTCAAGTGCTTCCAAATAATTCAGGTAAATGAATCCCGATAACTGAAAATACTTCCAAGTTTTTTTTTCTTTACGTGTCTCTCCATTCACAACTTTGGTGATTTCTTTTTCCTCTTCAACTACGGTCTCGATTTTCCTATATCCCAAAGCGGGCTTGGTGCCATAAGTTTTTGCACAGTATGGTAATAGGTCGTAGACAGTTTTGATGCCCTCGATAGGAGTGGTGACAAGTTCATTAGGTGACAGTACAGAACGACGAACACGGGTTTCACCATCTACATTAGGACCAATTTCGACGCTGCTGGCACGCATTTCGTTATCTCTTATGAAAAAAAAAAAAAGTTTTTTTTTTTTTTTTTTTTTCAAAAATAATTTTTTTGTTTTTCAATTGGCTTATTTATATGGAGATGTTTAGAGTGTACGTTTGTGCTTCGGAAAGAAAATTATGTTATATAAATACGTGTTTGGATGTTGGCCAGGACCGGTTCGCTCAGGATAGTATGAACATTACACCGAATGCGTGAATCAGAATATCCAAACATTTAACTTAATACGTAGTATTAATTTGGAAAACAACCCTGAATTATGTAATTAACATTAGCACGGTACATTGTGTTCTTTAAACAGTTGATTAAAAAAAAAAGTGATAATTTCAGAGGTCCTATTTCATGAACCTAATAATATAATAATGATACCACAATGCAACAATATTTGCAGGAGAAAGCACAACTTTGAAATATGCATACCTAAACTTCCAATTACATCGTAGACCATTTTTCATACAAGTCCGAGAATAATGTAATTGTTGACATACGTACATAATCGCGTACTACAGTGCAGTACTTACGCCAGACCACGCTTTTGTTCAGATGTAGTACAATGCGTAGCCACCACCTTGCATAACGAAGGTTAGTTTTCTGCGGACTACCGGAGTTCATATTTTCTCCGATGGAGAATGTAGTACCTCAGATTCATTAAACTGGCATTTAATTATTTTTGTCACTGAAATTCATGATAGTAAAGGATTTCTTGAAATTTTTTCTCTCTTTTACTACTTTACTTTATTTACGTTTACGAAAAATCCTACTTTTTCGGAAATAACATATGGTATAACAGAAATATTGCTGTTTAACCTTTCATGGAAGACAAACGACGAAAAATTTTACACGATAATTACAAATTTGTGGTTAAATCTTACAAAAAAATTCTATAAATCACGAATATTCTTTTCATTAAATTTTTATTGTTATAGAAAACGGTGACTTTATAATATTTCCGAAAGATTTAATCAAAGGTGAGCTCGGATCTTTACATAATGAATTTAGGCCGGATGGTAGGAAATCAATAATTCTGTGCGTTCTCCATAAAAAAGTGATGGGCGTGCGTTGATTTTTATGATGACTTTACGATACGTATACGTATACTGTATGCTGTACATACGTACGACGCTAAAGCAAACGCCCTCGATCAACATAATCATATGGGTGAACATAAAACGCGTTTCCTTAATCTCTACATTAAACTTTTTTTTTTTTAAAAAAAAAATGAATTCTTTAAATCACAATTAATTGGAATTGAACCTGTCATTTTATTTTTACTAGATAAATCTCCAAAATTTAAAAGAGTTCTCAATTTGATCGTGATACGTAATTATAAATAAATAATTTTTAATTATTTAAATATAAAAATGAACATTATCGTAAAAAAAAATTTTTTTTTTGTATTTTAAATATAATTCTTTATTTATGTTTATATATTAGATCAAAAGTTAATTTAACACTATCAAAATTATTTTTTTAATGGAATCCAGAAATCATTACCTGTCCGGACAACCATTTTTTATGTCAAATACAGTACGTAAACCCTTTGATTTTGACGTCCACTTAACGATCCACGCCAAGTTCTTAATTCGCGATATTTGCGTTCAAGTAGCAATACACTTTGAGTGAAATTAAGGTTTTCTGAGAGAAATATAAAATAGTTAGATTAATGATATTGATTTATGGTAGACAATAAAACTTGATGCGGAGTAGGGAGAAGGAACTGCCATCTTGCAGTCCAGGGACCGGCGCATTCATTCCTCTAAGCATCTGCTACTCTAATGCCCTTTCGGCATTTGCTTTTGCTTTCTTCTCTGCCAGCCCTCGTGTTCGTATTAAAGAATGTTTATCGCATATATGACACAAGTTTTTATTAGCTATAAAATAATCACAAATCGAAAAAAAAAATCTTATTTGCAAAGTACATAAGAATCAAATTGTTCTCATAAAAGGTCTTTGCTTTTCAAATCTTTATACAACATATACTTTAGTGCGTTTTCAACACGATCTTCGTTTCCATTGTAATAATCTTTGAAGAAATAATGGCCAGGAGAAGGTGACTTGGTAAGTTGAGCTATTCCTATAAAAACTTTATTCTTTCCATTATTATTACCACTAACATATGAAATAAAATCCGCCAGTAATAGGTTCGTTTTCATAATTCTCACCGAATTTAAAATCTATATATTTATATGTAAAGGTAGAACTTTCGGAAATGAACGTGGATTCGAGGGTTGATTTAAGAATTCCTTTAGGTTTCTCGTCAAAATGCTCGAAAAATCCTTTGCAGAATTCTTTTCGTCAACGGTATAGGAACCTGACATAACTTCTTGCAATCGAGAGTTACCACACGAAGATCCATGATATTTACATCTACTATTGGCTACCCATTCGAGATCATTTATCAAATTTTTGTAAGAAGATATCTGTTCTCGCGCCTTTTTTCCTAGCATCATATGAAAAGTTTTTTTCTTTTTTTATGTATGAAAAATGAAAGTGGATTTATTTGATTTTGGAAGAAAAAAATACGTATGTTCAGTAAAAGAAAGTCACCTGGAACCTTGATTGATTTAAACTATAGTATACACAATCTAGTGAAAATAACGTGTTTAAAGAATCACTTAATTAATGCAATATACTATCGCGAAAGCATATAGATATTAAAAAAAAACTTGTAGTATGTTACTTTTCAGGAAGAATCAAAATGATTCCAGTAGGAAAAAAGTGATGCGCTTTTGTAGACGGTTGTGGCCCGATCCATTGGAAAAAAAATTAATATTAGACAATAATAATCAATAAAATAAAAAACTTATTAGAAGAAGGTAAAAAAAAAAAAAAAAAAGAATAAAAAATATAAAATTATGCAAATATATCATTAAAAATTTTTAAAAATTTAATACATATTAAAATATCAGATACAGTATTTCTTAAAAAAAAAAATTTGCAATAAGTTATACTTTTATTGAAATATTTTTTTAACTATCCAGAAACTTATTTATTTTCAATCTTTATATTTTTTTCTTATATATTATTTAAATATTTTTATTTATTTATTGAGGGCTTTTACTTTAAAGTATATATTTTATTTAAATATATTTTGAATATTAATTTTCAATAATTTTACAATATAATATATGAAAAATCAACAAATTAAATTACTTGATTTTCAGAAATATTTTGAGAATTATAATAAATATTTTGATTTTTAATAATCTCTAAAAGAATATACTTGAATTTTTTTTTTTTTATTTTGTTATAATAGATTTAATCAGGATTTTTGATAAATATTTAAATTTTATTAAAATTAATATAATTTAAGAGTTTAATACAACTATTATTGTTGTTGTTGCTATTGTTATTATATTTTATTCTTATAATTATTAATTTGTATTTTTAAATACTATATAATTTAGTTATATAAAAATAAAAAAATTTATAAAATTTTATTTAAAAAAAAATATTTAATTATAAAAACATAACTTTTTAATTTGATCATAAATAAAAACTTTTTAATAAACACTTATTTAATTTAAAAACTTTTTTATAATATATTATAATTAAATTTAATATTTTTTTATTTTATTTTTTTATTTATCTAAAAAAAAAATTAAAAAAATTAACAAATTGATAAAAACTAAAAAATAAAATTTTTTAATATTTTAAAAAAAATGCTTTAAATTTTAAATTATTATTACTTTTTTTTAATTAAATATTTTAATAATAAATAAAGTCTGGTGGTAAATTTTAATAAAAAGAAAATTAATAAAAAATATTATATAAATAAATTCAATAATTACTTTTGTATAAATTTATTTTATTATTAATTATTTTTGAAAAAAACTTGAGAAAAGAATCTTGTCTAAACAAATTTTATAAAATTTATTACTTATATAATATTTTAATATTTATTTTTTATAATTTTAAACTAATAACAAACTTATTTTTTATTGTTTTATATATTTTAAAACTTTTTTTTTTTTTATTAAGTGCAACAGATCTACTTTATTAATTTTAATGTAGTACATACTACTTAAATTAATAAGCTATTTATTAACTCTTTTTTCTTTATATAACCTTTATATTATTTTATTAAAAAGCTAATTTATTTATGAAATCCCTTATGGCTTGTTGCTCCCCTTGGGAACTAATAGCTTAAACTCCATTAGCATTGATACTAAAGATGTAGAAAATATCGTATTATCTTTGAATAATATTACCAATTATGTTTGTTGTATCGACAAGTTGTATTCTATTTAATGTAGTATATTTCAAAATGTTTTTGTGCCTTTTCTTTTCTTTTCTTTTTATAGCATTCTTGTTGATTCCCATATCCTTTTCCCATTGTGATATTCTTCTGCATCTATCAGTTCATATGTTGAATATCAGGAATTTTATATATTATAAGATGTTTTTCAGGATAGAAGTGAGCTTGTCTTGACTAATAGTTTCTATAATAAGATAGTTTAAGGCTTTGCTGATGCCTCCCTTGAAAATGATGGTCCATATCTTTTATTAATTATATGCATATACCTGCTCAAGTATAAGCAGTATATATTATGGATCAGTTCACTTATGTATTATATATAATAAACTAGTGTGTTATATATATCAACAAGTATTGTACATATAATATTTATAATAAATATATTTATATATGAGTAGCTATATATATATATTCTATATAAAGCTATATACTAATACTACCTATTCGAAAAGACATATGAATCTATCTTAATTTTCCCAAAACAATTTTTTCTTAAGAGTATTCTAGTTATCAGGCTGTTAATTACAGTATCTTGAACCCTGATTCATTCAATTCTTCAAAGTGATCTATAGCTTTGTTGCCTCTTATCAAGGCCTCCTAATAGTAAAGTCTGTGAAAACTAGCATAGTTATACACTTTACCTTGAGAGGTATACTATCAGTTTAGGATCCACTTTTCTTATTACCATTGAGTAATATAGTTGTATCAAGGATGATCCTATCTGATCA